ATAGATGACTTGAGGGATTTCAGTTGGGAACTCCTGAGGTGATTTGCACGCTGCTTCGCTTATGTATCAAATTGATAATTTTTGACGTGACCTTTGATAGATCGGCTCGGAGCATGCATAACCTACGGGGTAGATACACTGAACAAGATTCATTCTGTTTTACCTTGAAATTAATCTAAGTTAAATTTTGATCGGTGTAATAACACTTTAAGTAACTATTGGAAAAGATGTCAAATTCCATTCCAGTCTGCTTTGATGAATTGTTTAGTAGTATAGTTAATCGTCGCCCGAAAATTTACATAAAGAGGTCATTAAATTTACAAAACAAACAAAGGATATTAACAAATGAGTTATCTACTCATACTGCATATAATTTAAAGCGTCCCTCTTTTGTCAGCGCATGATAGCTTGATAAAAGCAAAGTAGGAAAAGGGGTATAAATATGCAGAGCTAATGTGGAAATTACCCGCAAGTCTACAAATTACGCAAGATTACAGCGAATTTACCTGGTAGTTTTTAAGCAAACAAGAAAATATAAGATATCAAAAGGGAGATAATTGCTAAAAATGACTATCAAGGTTAGAAATGTTATCTATGAACTTCAACATGTACGTAAAATGTAGAGTGAATACCTTTGATACTTTTAAGAATATATAATCAAAAATAATCGTATGTTAATGAGTGTGGCTTGCAGAACTTATCTACGTGCATCTATATTTTAGAACCTAGGTACAGTGCACTTTGCTTTTACGGCCAATTGGCAGGACTGATCCCATTGACCTAAACATTTGACGTTTTAATCTGCAATGAGGATGAATTTCAGTTCGTTATTGGGTGTACATTTTACGCTGATCTCAGGCGTCAGTATATAAATAGAATTTACTGGGTTCATCCAAATTATATTAAATTTGTAAACTTGATTAATACCACAAATGTAGTCGACATAAAGAAGTTAGCATCTTATATTTACTACGCATTTGAAAAAAGAACATTGCTGCTGTCAACAATTTAGTTATATGTTTAAATGTTAATGAAGAAATGCACACATGTTGTTATAATATTATTCTAACTACGTTTACATGTTTGCTATAAATAGTCTTGGTCTCTCCCTACATGTATGTTAGTATAGAAATGAAATGAGATTGGTATAAATCTGTCATTGATATATGATTACCTATATCCCTTCCAATATTGTTAACACCTATATAATCATATGGTTTCAACATTGAATGTTATATTGCTGCATGTACATGGGCCATAAATGGCTTACTACTTAATAAAAGAAATATACAATCTGAAAAGAATTGGCAGGCAAAACTGATCAAGGTACATCCATATATAAAAATTAAATGAAGTTACTTCATAAGTATTGATGTTCATGACCATAATTTAAAACAAATCCAGAAAAGGTTTACCAACGCCGACGCCGACAAGAGGGTCGTGACAATAGGTCTACTTTTCTTTGAAAAGTTGAGCTAAAAGCATTTGTTTAATTAATATAGCTGTTAACATATATCAAGATGCATCAACGTAAAAAGTTTAATCAAAATTGCTTCTTTGTTATTAATTTAATGACCAAAACGAAAACTTAACCCAAAATGTTAACCAACACCGACGCCGACGAGTGGGTCATGAAAAAAGCTCTACTTTTAAAAATATTTGAGTAATTCATGATACTGGTAGTCTTGCTGAGGGTATTTGCTGGTAACGAAAATACTGCATCCATAGAAGTTCTCAACGAAACTACTAGCTTTTTCCGATTAACTAAGCGGGAAGCATCTCCGTCCAAGTGTGGAAAATACAAATGTTATAATGTTATAAATCAAAATTGTTTTTTATCGTAAATCTTTGAATATAAGGTATTGTTTATAGATAGATAGATATTTATTCAGGTTAAAACACACATACATGTATACATAAAACAAACACTTTAGCATTTTATATAAAACTGATGACACAATTGTAATAAAATATTTCGGAAGTTTGTCAGACATAAATATCACAGACGGCTCATTAAATAATAAAATATTATAACTAAAAACAAAATCTAAAACTCTTTCTTTCCTATGACTAGATATCAATTTACTAGTTTAATAAAATGTAAGGACGTAAGTGGAAACATGTTATAGAGTAGTGTGCAATAACCTCGGATTGCCCATGAAAGCCCGAAGGCTTATTTCCAATGGGGTCCTTGGATATATACTTACTATAATATACAATATAAAACACAAAAACATTGAAAATACAAAACTTTGGAAACTGGAAGATGTCATTTACGTAAAATATCAAACTTTAGTATTTCCATTAACTTTGCTAAAAAGAAAACAATAAAAATGAGATCAATATCTAGTCATACTAGTGGATTTAATTATGATTTACTAACCTAACTGTTCTAGTAAATGGGCCTTCACAGAGCTTTTGAAATTTCCTATCTTATTAATTTTTTTGATGTATGTTGGCAAGGAATTCCAATCATTAATTGCTTTTTGAAAAAAAGTTACATTATCTTTCCCATAACTTCTTGGGACCCTAAAATTGTACTGATTCGACCGAGTTGAATAAGAATGAATGTCTCGAACAGGTATAAAATTTTCTATCATATATGAAGGGCACTGGGTATTAACAATTTTAAAAACATGATTAAGACGTAATTGCTTATTTCTGATTTCTACATTTAGTAAAGACATATAGCAAGAATAACATTATTGACACTATCTCTAGGTCCCATACCGTGTATAAATCTAACAATTTTATTTTGACAAATTTGAAGCTTATTTTTAAAACACTTGTTCAGGCTCGGGTACCAAGAAGAACATGCATAATCAAGGTGACATTGTATTAGTGCTGAGCATAAATATTTTCTAGTCCTAAAATCTAAAACATTTGCTTGCCTATACAAAAACTTAAGACGTGAATTCACCATTGTAAGAATACAATTAACAATAGATTCACCTGACAAAGAATCATCAATTTTTAAACCTAGATATTTAACAGATTTTGTGGATTCAATAGTATGTCCATTACAAACAATTTTGAACTCTTTAACTTGTTTTAGTTTACGTTTGGAACCAAAAATAAGACATTCAGTCTTTCCTAGATGAAGTGACAATTTGTTATCTACAAGCCAAGATGAACAAGACTCTAGTGTTTGTCCAAGTTTTTTGAGAAATAATACTTGGATTTTTGTGAGCAAAAAGAATTGCACTGTCATCGGCATACAGAATAAGTTTACATTCTTGATCTATACTAATTCTCATGTCATTTACATAGCACAAAAATAAAAGAGGACCCAGGATGCTGCCCTGGGGAACCCCACATGTAACAGGCATGTAATCTGATAAAATATTATCAACACTAACAGTTTGTTTTCTACCTTTAAGATAAGACATAAACCAGTCAGTGTTAGAGATACCCATCAATTTCAATTTTCCACATAAAATATCATGGTCAACAGTATCAAATGCTTTTTGTAGATCTAACATTATCATGCCTGTGTATAATCCTTTGGAATTATTGTTTCTGATATGATCGATAAGATGGATAAGACAAGTGTCAGTGGAATAGGAATTTCTAAAACCTGACTGTAATTCATACAATAAACCATTATCAACTAAAACTTTTCAAGTTGAGAATACACTGATTTTTCTAAAATTTTTGAAACAATGCTTAAAATGCTTACAGGTCTATAATTTCCTACTTCAAGATTACTGTTCTTTTTATATAAAGGTTTTACCCTAGCTACTTTCATGTCATCAGGGACATAATTTTCTGAAATTGACATATTTATGATAAAAGTAATTGGTATTTTCAAAAATGAAGCTGCATCTTTTAAAAATCTAGCAGGAATTTCATCTAAACCAGTACTCTTTGATGAGTTTAAATTCTTAAGCTCTTTATATACAAATGTCTCATACACATGTTTTAAGTACATTTTATTATTCTTAGTATTTCTATCATTATAAAAATCTAACAAAGCTTGTGAGTCAATGTCAAAACTTTTTGCTAGCACAAGGTAACTTATCCACTAGCTTAGAAGCAACAGTAGTAAAAAAGTCATTAAAATGATTAGCAATTTTTAAAGGATATGACAATTTTCACTATCAATTTTTAAAACAATATTTTCATTCCCTGTTGTTTGGGATTTATACCCCAATTGTTTTAAATGTTTTCCATAGGCCTTTTGGATTATTTTCTATTTCAGCAATTTGATCAGTAAAATAAGAAGACTTAGCATGTTTTACTTCTCTTTGAACAACATTTCTAAATTTACAATAACAAGAAAAATCTTCATGGCAACCATATTTTCTAAACTTGTATAAATAATGATCTCTTGTTTTGATATGGTCTAAAATCTCTGATGACATCCAAGGTTCAGTTCTCTGTTTTAATCTAAATTTCTTTAACAGGAGCAATGGCATTCAACACTGCCATAGAAATATATTTAAAAGCTACCCATGAACTGTTTACATTATCAGAATAAAACATTTTCTCCAGTCCGCTTGACCTAGTTTTTCAATAATCAAATTTTTACTATAATTTTTACACATCTAACTTTAGAGAAATAATGTTTTGAGAATCTTTGTTTGATGATTTTCCTTGTACAAAAAGTCAAAAAGTGATCACTAAGGCCAATAGAAATAACACCATATTGACTTAGCCTATCTTTTGAATTGGTAATGATATGATCAATTATACTTTTGCTTGATAAAGTAATTCTAGTGGCTTCAGTAATGATCTGTTGTAGATCAAAAATTTTCAAAATGCTAGTGTAGGATTTAAAAATTGAACTATACTTTTGGTAAAAACAAATGTTAAAATCTCCAAGAATGTAACATTCACAATCTCATCTAAGACTATATAAAACATTTTTAACACCGTGAGACACATATAAACACGATTTTATGGCGTTCTAAATAAATGGATGTATTTTTATCTTAATGAGTATTCATTGTACTTATGAGATAACGTTACCAGAGGAAGTAAACAATATGGAATAATATTTACCCATGATTTAAAGATGAATAACCTCGATAACTTCGGTTGTATGCATTTCCTTCTTGGTCATACCTCAAATCCGTATAACTCATATCTGACCTTATTCTTTCAGATCTGCTTCTGAAATATTACATAGTTAATATCTCTTATAGTTTCAGAGTTATGTCACGGAGAAAGTTTAAATTGAAAAAGCAACAAAAGGCAATATTTCGACAAATAAGGCAAGGCAGAGTTATGGTTTTGCATTGCATATCTATCTACTGTGATCTATCTAATAACTTCAAAATTGTGCAATACAGAGTAAAGTTTCTTGAGCACTGCACACCTACCCAATAAGATGTATGTACCTACCAAATGTCATTGTTCATATCTCTTACACTTTCAAAGCTATGTCCTGGACAATGTTCAAAGTGAAAATATGAACAAACGTCAATTACTCAAAAACTAAGCAAGGCAGAATTACGTTTTTTTGCACTGCACTTCTAGTTAATGAGATATATCTATCTACAAAGTCTCTCATTGATACCTCTTATGATTTCAGAGTTCTGTCCTGAACAATGTCAAATTGAAACGATGAATATAGGCCAATAACTCCAAAATAAGGCAAACCTATTATACTATACTTTCAGAGCTATGTCTTGGACAAGTCAAGTGACAAGTGTAAACATAAACAAAGGGCAATAACTCTAAAACTAAGCGAGGCAGAGTTACGGTTTTTTCACTGCACCTTTACCCCATGAGCTCTATCTACTTACAAAGTTTCTTGTAAATACCTCTTATGGTTTTCGAGTTATGTTCCGGAGTAGAACTGAACAAAGTGCAATAACTCAAAAACAAGCAAGGCAGAGTTACGGTTCTTATGCACTGCACATTTACCAAATGAGATCTGTCCGTGTTGATTTTTCGTATAGTTTTAAAGTTTTGTCCCGGAAAGAGTTCAAAGTGTAAAATGAACAAAGGGAAATAATTCCAAAATTTAGCAAACAAAGCACTGCACATTAAGCCAAGTAGATCTATCTACCTACAAATTTTCATTTTGATATCTCCTATGATTCTAGACTTATCGCCCTGAAAAAGTTCAAAGTGTAAAAATAAAAAATATAGGATAATTACTCCAAAATAAGACAAGGCAGAGTTACGTTTCTTTTGCACTGCACTTAAATTTATTAAAATCTATCTACCTACAAAGTGTCTTGTTAATATCCCTCTTGGTTTCCGAGCTATGTCCCGAACAAGTTCAATGTGTAAAAATGAACGAAGGGCAATAACTCCAAAATAAGACAAGGCAAAGTTAGGGTTCTTTTGCACTGCACTTCTACCTATTTAGATATATTAACCTACAAAGTTAATTTCGATATTTTTATCTATATCGCCATATATAATTTTAGAGTTATGTCCCGGACAAAGTTCAAAGTGTAAAAATGAACAAAGGGCAATAATTCCAAACTTTGGCAAGGCAGAGTTACGCTTCTTGTGCACTTCACGTAAAGTTTTATTGAAATTGCATTAGTGGTATAAAAAAAGTAGTCCTGACAAACTTTTTAAAAGCCCTAACAATAATCATTGAACTGGAAAATGCCGACGATATTCACAACAGGATTTGGTCCTGATCATTCTATAAAGTTTGGTCGGAATTGCACCAGTAGTTTTTGATCATTATTCCGGACAAGTGTTATGACGGAAAGACATACAGACAAAAAGACAGACAGATAGACGACGGAGAAGTGATCGCATATGTAGAATCTACTCTGTAGAGGCGACACAAAAACATGCTTTAGGTCAAATGTCAACACATTGGCCATATTTTGTTATACTGACATTAAAGCATATTTAAGATCAAATTTCTTTATTTAGAGAATACAAAAAATTCATGAAGAAATCGAAACTGAAACACGTTAAATTTTGCCATGTTATTTCAAGCTTTTTTTTGTCACAACAATTTAAGTAAACAGGGGGATTAAAACATATATTCAAAATATTTGTATTCATATTATTAAAACATACGCTCACCATGAAGACCACTTTTTGTGTCAAAACAGTGAAAGCTAGTGTTTATTTCAAGAATTTGAACGATGTTGGTCAATATAAATAACTATGATCTTACTAACTGCATGGTCCTTATTTCATAGCTGTACACAAAAAGCAAGAAAGTAGATTGTCAGCTTATATAAAAAATCAATTTTACATCTAAAAGTGTACACATCGTCCTTTAATATCCATAGATGTTCATCAAAGGACTAAAATGTCGGTCACTTGGTCAAGATCTAGGCCAAGTCATATCGAAGTTCAAAGCTACATCTGATATTGTGCACACAGTCAAAATTTCGGGGCTGTATATTAAGTAACAAAAATGTCGGTCACTGAGTCCCCTGAGGCAATTTTGGCCCTTAGGCTTTTATTTAAACAATCTTGAGACAGATCCACCAAACAATGTTCCATGTCAAATATCTAAGCTATAGCTTTCTACGTTTCCGAAAACATTTTTGTTTATAAGCCAAAGAGCAGGCCTTTTTTTACTCTCGGGTCATTACTTGAACAGTTCTTGTAAAGGCCCACACTATTTCATGCTAAATATCTAAGCACCAGCGTTTGAGGATATTTTTCCTTTAAGATTCTACTAAAAATGCATCACATAATGAATAATCTATGACCCCGGGGCATGGCCAATTTTGACATCAGGGCTATTGTTTGATCAAACTTGTTGGAGGTTTTTGACTTAACCCCACCGTGTCCAGTCTACATAGACTATTGGTTTATTCTATTTCTACTTTATTATAATAAAGTTTCATACCCAAGTTTTCTTAAATCTTACCCTATTGCAGGCCCTGTGTTCACTTTAGTCTCGCCACTTTTCTATTAGCGCCCCACTGAACACGGAATCAATAATTATAAATAACTTGAATAGAAATAATAGGTTTTGTTTGGGGTTCTCCTGCCCTCTGGTCCTTGTTGCTGGGTCATGTGGGGGTTGCGTTCATTGAACGCCACGTTTCATTGTTGATCTTGTCTACCATATTTTCACAACACAATGTTTAAGGCCAAATATATATATACTCTACCCTTTGTCATCTTAGAGAAGAAGAACTTTTACTAAATTCGTATAAGAACAAGAGGGCCATGATGGCCCTAAAGTCGCTCACCTGTTTATAGGCCCCAAGAGCGGGGCCAGTTTAAACCCCAGGGCTTTTGTTTGAACAAACTTGGTAGACACCCATTAGAAGATATTTCATGCTAAACATCTAAGGTTTGGCTCGTTGAGTTTTTTAAAAATGATTTTTTAAGATTTAACTATACACATATAGTTAAAAGCAATGACACCCCTAGGGCGGGGCCAGTTTTGACCCCATTTGACACTCACTAGAAGACGTTTCATGCTTAATATCTAAACTCTAGCTATTTGGTTTTTGCTATACACATATCAATGTCCCCCGGGGCAGGGCCAATTTTGACCCTAGGGCTTTTATTTGAACAAACTTTGAAGACACTAACTGGAAGATGTTTCATGCTTAATATCTCAACTCTAGCTATTTGGGTTTTTTCAAAGAAGTTTTTTTAAGTTTTTGCTATACACATAAATAAAATCAATGACCCCCGGGGCGAGGCCAATTTTGACCCAAGGGCTTTTATATGAACAAACTTTGTAGACACTCACTAGAAGATGTTTCATGCTTAGTAACAAAACTCTAGCTATTTGTTTTTTTTCAAAGAAGATTTTTTTTAAAGTTTTTGCTTTACACATATAAGGAAATCAATGACCCCCGGGGCAGGGCAAATTTTGACCCCAGGGCTTTTATTTGAACAAATTTGGTAGACACCCATTAGAACATGTTTCATGCTAGATATCTTAGCTCTAGCTCTTTGGGTTCTTTAAAAGAAGATTTTATAAGTTTTTACTATATGCATATTGGGAAAATCAATGACCCCCTGGGGCGGGGCCAATTTTGACCCCAGGGCTTTTATTTGAACACACTTGATAGACACTTATTAGAAGATGTTTCATGCTAAATATCTTAGCTCTAGCTCTTTGGGTTCTTTAAAAGAAGATTTTATAAGTTTTTACTATATGCATATAGGGAAAATCAATGACCCCCTTGGGCGGGGCCAATTTTGACCCCAGGGCTTTTATTTGAACAAACTTGGTAGACACCCATTAGAAGATGTTTCATGCTTAATATCTTAGCTCTAGCTCTTTGGGTTCTTTAAAAGAAGATTTTTTAAGTTTTTACAATATGCATATAGGGAAAATCAATGACCCCCGGGGCGGGGCCAATTTTGACCCCAGGGCTTTTATTTGAACAAACTTGATAGACACTCACTAGAAGATGTTTCATGCCAAATATCTAAGCTCTACCTTTTTGGATTTTATAAAAGAAGATATTTTAAGTTTTTTTCTATCGGTTGTAATGGCAACCAGAGTTCTGCATGGAATTAGCTCTAGGCCATTTACTTTCAGACCAGAATATTTTTCAAGTTTTCACTATATGTATATAATGAAAATCAATGACCCCCCCGGGGCAGGGACAATTTTGACCCGAGGGCCATTATTTGAACAATCTTGGTAGAGGTCAACTTTACATTGTTTCATGCCAAATATCTAACCTGTAGCCTTTACCAATTCAGAGAAGTAGATTTTTTTAGGTTTTACAATATACATATAAGGAAAAACCTATGACCCCCAGGGCGGGGCCGATTTTAATTCTAGGAACAAAATTTGAACAACTTTGGTTTTGGAACTATAGATGATACCATAGACCAAATATCAAAGCTCTAGACCATTTACTTTCAGACCAGAATATTTTTCAAGTTTTCACTATGTGTATATAATGAAAATCATTGACCCCCGAGGGCAGGACCAATTTTGACCCGAGGGTCATTATTTGAACAATCTTGGTAGAGGTCTACCACACAATGTTTCATGCCAAGTATCTTACCTGTAGCCTTTGCCAATTCAGAGAAGAATATTTTTTATGTTTTACTATATACATATTGGAAAAACCTATGACCCCCGGGGTGGGGCCAATTTTGACACTAGGGACAAAATGTGTTCAACTTTGGTATTGGACCTTCAGATGATACCATAAACCAAATATCAAAGCTCTAGGGCATTTACTTTCAGACCAGAAGATTTTTCAAGTTTTCACTATATGTATGGAATGAAAATCAATGACCCCCGGGGCGGGGCCAATTTTGATCCTAGGGCCATTATTTGAACAATCTTGATAGAGGTCTACTACACAATGTTTCATGCCAAATATCTAATCTGTAGCCTTTGCCAAATCAGAGAAGAAGATGTTTTTAGATTTTACTATTATATACATATAAGGAAAAACCTATGACCCCCGGGGCGGGGCCAATTTTGACACTAGGGACAAAATTTGAACAACTTTGGTAGAGGACCCATAGATGATACCATATACCAAAAATCAAAGCTCTGGCCCATGTACTTTCAGACAAGAAGATTTTTTAATTTTGTGTTTTTTGAAATCCTTTTCTGTCCCTATGGCATACTTATGCAACAGACCCAAACTATTTGAACAACTTTGAAAGGGGACCACCCAAGGATCATTTCTGTAAAGTTTGGTTGATGTGCAGTCATTGGTTTCAGAGGAGATGTTGTTAAAGTTCAAAAGTTGACGACGCACGATGTGTGGTTTTTAAAGAAAATGCATAACATATTCAAAATGACATTGTGGCATTGAGAGTTTTGCATATAACTCCTGATAATTACCTATTTTTATTTGGGTTGTCTTCATTTTGTGTTGAATTCATGTTCTGCATGCTTTTTGCTGGTCGAAGACTATGCTTGCGAAGGGTAATATTTTGCCTGAAATAAATGTACAAATAATATTATTATGGTGCATCCATGTGACATACGTATATTATGTCTAGAGATAGTAACTCCGAGTTCAATCGTTTAATAAACATTAAAGTATACATTAATTTTAAATAGATAGAACAGGCACTGTGTTAAGAATATTGTGTCGCATTGAAAATGCATAAATAAAACAAAGATATGACCCAAGTTCCTCTTTCATTTCTTTATGCGATGGTCATTTTCCATTCTCAAAAGACTTGCTACCTTGTAAAAATAGTCTTCAAAACTACATCAGAAAATCACACCAACGGGTAAAACCGCTCTTTGTGTGCCATTTGTGTTCATAAGTTAGCAACGATTTGAGCATATATTTTGTCCCAATGGGCTGGAGGTATTTTTAAACCATCCGTTTGTTACTGATTGTATGATATAAATTCAATACACTGATCGTAATATTCTCAAATATGCGTTCAAAATATGTTAACATTCTTACAAGATGTTTTATATCTATGCGCCTTTGCCCCATTTTTTCCTCATTTTTAATACTAATAAGCTACACTAGAAGGGCTATTCGCATACTATTGAAATAAATTTTTCACTTTTTTAGTTCTTTTGAGCAAAACATCTGAGCTAATTTTTTTTTATTTTACAGAAATAAAAAAAATTCAAGTTTTCATTTAATACATATAGGGTATTACCATGACCAAGGGATATGACATTTTTGGAACAATTTAAGTAGATACCAACTGAACCATGTTCAGTCAAACATTCTGTCAACAACTATATCAACCAGAGTAATTCCCCGAATAATATTGATAAAGCTTTATGCAACGAACATTTCTGCTCAGCTTAGTTTAAACACAACATCAACCCAACTGTTTCGAAGGTGTTGTTTTAAACAAATGTTATCGACAAAATACGGACAACAGTCATAGTCTGAATGTAATATCTCACACTTAACACGTGGTGCTCAAACCAAAAGTGAAAATCTATCCCATTGTCACTAAATTTTCAAGACCGAATTCAATATTTACCATGCAGATTTAAGACTAAATGTTTTATATTGACTAAGCGGTGGGGAAACAAACAGGGAAAATAGAAGTTCTGTAATGTTGTAAATCCTTTGCGTCATTTTTTTATTACAAATAAGGAATAAGAAGAAACATGGATATGTTTGTAAGTTTGAGAGAGTTTGTTTATAAATCTAAATGTTGCGATATAGAACACTTCTTTAATAAAAAAGGAGAGTAAGTGACCGGATAGGTCAATCGGTAGAACCTCAGAGGTTTGACGGTTTGAGTCCAGGTCAGGCTTTACATTTTTCACACAGTGCCGTTGTGCGCTAGTTGCAAAACATTGGACAGTGATGTTATTTATGATATAACGTAGTGTCGACATAATATTGTTTTCATAAAATGTATTTACGATACAGTCTCGGAGCAGCTCATACAATGCGATTTATGTTCTATTGCACATTTTTAGCATAAAGATATGATAAAAAGACTTAACATTATAAAAAGAAACATACATAAGCATATACATGTACGAGTACATATAATTATAAATCAGCATATATAATGTGAACAGTGAAAGTTTTAACAATGACAAACACATGATATAGACATTATTTCAATAAACCACGCACACTTGTGTAAAAAATAGTATATGAAGGCTATTCGAGCCAAAGCAGTGGAACAATATGATAGTGACGTTCCTATTTCTTTTCACCGACTGTTACACACTCACACTACTTTAGTGATATGAAATATTACTATACCTGATTTCCATGTTTTGTGGCATGTTTACAATGCTTTCATACCTGGAATCATACGTTGAAAGTTTATTTTAGATTAAAACTATTTTCATATGAACATAAATATTGGTTAGCACTTTTTGAAGAACATGCTTCCATATTCTAAATGAATATTCACATATGCATGAAGTTCTGTTGGTGTTTCGTAAACTAGACTTGTAGACTTGATAGGCTCTCTTTCAAAATAATCTCTTGAAAAAAAAAGTGATTTTAAATGTGAATAAATTTGTAGGAAAAGTGTATTTTATTTTAAAAGAAGATATCATCACAGAAATTGGTGCTACTTTTTTAGACACTTGGAATCTTAGATGTTACAATGTATGACCTTTCTAAAAAGTCAACGGCACAAATGTATTTTTGTGTCTAGTTATGAAAAAAATAAATAAGCGGTTAATCCACTAATAAATTTAAGAATGTATGGGTTAAACTTTGTTCAAAGTAGGATAAAATTCATTATTAAACATATGCATGCATAATGCTCCGCAAACCGTTTTCTTAAAAAGATAAAAAAGCATAATAAGGAGTTCATAACTCTTGCGTAGGACTTTATAACTCCTACGTAGGACTTTATAAATCCTACGTAGGACTTTAAAACTCCTACGTAGGAGATAAAAAAACATAATTAGGAGTTGTTAAGTCTTACGTTGGAGTTTAAAAGTCCTAAATAGGAGTTTATAACTCCTACGTAGGACTTTATAAGTGTTCCTCTACGTAGGAGTAAAAAAGTCCTACGTAGGAGTTATTAACTCCTAATTAGGCTTTTTTCATCTCCTACGTAGGAGTTACAAAGTGCTACGTAGGAGTTATAAAGTCCTACGTACTAAGGAGTTTAAAAGTCCTACGTAGCAGTTATAAACTCCTAATTAGGCTTATCTATCTCCTACGTAGGAGTTTTACAATTATTATAGAACATGTTAATTTGGCACCAGGACGCTTCCGTAATCTTGTCCTTTTTGTCGTAAAGATACAAATTCTTACATATTTAAAAGAAGACTGACTCTCAATTGAGACAGGTTAATTTTTTTATAAATTATGTTGTTTTTATTATTTGACCACGTGACCTTATTTGAAAAGCCAGACTAGAAACTACGGAAGCGTCCTGTTGCCAATTCATAATGTTCTATAAAAAATAAACTCCCACGTAGGAGATAAAAAAGCTTAACTAGGAGTTTGTAACTCCTACTTAGGACTTTTAAACTCCTACGTAGGACTTTGTAAGACCTACATACGACTTTATAACTCCTACGTAGGACTTTATAAGTCCTACGTAGGACTTTGTAACTACTACGTAGGATATATAAAAGCCTAATTAGGAGTTTATAACTCCTATGTAGGACTTTTAAACTCCTACGTAGGACTTTATACTCCTACGTAGGACTTTTATACTCCAACGTAGGACTTTATAAGTCCTACATAGGACTTTATATCTCCTATGTAGGACTTTATAACTCCTACGTAGGAGATGAAAAAGCCTAGTTAGGAGTTTATAACTCCTACGTAGGACTTTTAAACTCCTACGAGGGACTTTAAAACTCCTACGTAGGACTTTATAACTCCTACGTAGGAGATTAAAAGGCCTAATTAGGAGTTTATAACTCCTACGTAGGGCTTTGTAACTCCTACGTAGGACTTTATAACTCCTACGTAGGAGATAAATTAGCCTAATTAGGACTTTAAAACTCGTACGTAGGACTGTGTCACTCCTACGTAGGACTTTTAAACTCGTATGTAGGACTTTATAACTCCTTCGTAGGATACATATCAAAGTACTGAAAGCACATAGTTTGACGGACATGTATGCTAGAGTAAAACCTAAGATAGGCATATTATGTAGGAAAATAAATTATATGTGACAAGTTGTAATTGTGGCAAACCGCTTTAGTAAATACCCTTGGTCTGTAGCCAGAGATGATTTTGTCATTCTCTGCATATATTAAACGATGATTCTGTATTATGTACGTTTAGTTAAATTGATTATACACATGTACACAAAATGTATGGATTAAACTTTGTTCAAAGTAGGATATAATTCATTATTAAACATATGCATGCATAATGCTCCGCAAACCGTTTTCTTTTTAAACTTTACGGAGCAGGAACAAGACACTTCACTACTCCCCTTGCCCCTATAAGGATTTAATCATTTGAAACGACCAAAAATTGATAAATTGTTCAGCTAGTTCGTATTGAAAAAGTTATCTTTAAAGCCTTTTAAAATTTTAATATATTCATATTTTAGAAATGCTTGTTGTCGAGTAAGTTTTTCGAATAGCTGTAAAGATGTTTTTCGGGATACATCGCCAATGCTTACAGACACCTCATCCTAAGACACTGTACACTCTAGAAACCTGTGACACTTTATTAAAAGGTGAAGTGTGGCGGCATGGCCGTGTGACTAGTAACCTAATGATCGCTAGCCGCATGGGTTAGGCGCAAGCCGTTGTTTCCTTGAGCAAGAAACTTTACACTCATTGCTCAGTACGTACTGGTTGGTTTCAGGAACGGATTCGAAAGTGCGTCTATAAGCTTATAGCTTCCTACACAATCAAACTTAAATAAATTCTGTATAAACCAAAGGTGAAATGTCCTCTATATTTAAGATTTGAAATTTCGGCCGGGGGGGGGGGAGGGTTTAAATGTCTTGTTTCATCGCCGATATACCGGTCCGGAATGTTGAGATTTTGTAAAGCATTCTGTATGCATTTCTATTAAAGTCATAAAGTCCTACGTAGGAGATACAAACTCCTCATTAGGATTTTTTATCTCCTACGTAGGAGTTATAAAGTCCTACGTAGGAGTTAAAGTCCTACGTAGGAGTTACAAAGTCCTACGTAGGAGTTATAAACTCTTAATTAGGCTTTTTTGATCTCCTACGTAGGAGTTATAAAGTCCTACGTAGGACTTATAAACTCCTACGTAGGACTTATGAACTCCTACGTAGGAGTTATAAAAACCTACGAAGGACTTTATAAGTCCTACGTAGGAGTTACAAACTCCTAATTAAGCTTTTTTTATTTCCTACGTAGGAGTTATAAAGTCCTACGTAAGACTTATAAACTCCTACGTACGACTTATAAACTCCTACGTAGGAGTGAAAAAACCTTTATAAGTCCTACGTAGGAGTTTCAAACTCCTAGTTAGGCTTTTCATCTCCTACGTAGGATTTTATTTTTTTATAGAACATTATGGATTGGCACCAGGACGCTTCCGTAAGAAACTGTTCTGTATATTATTAAGACAAATATTCTGTCAAAAGTTCAAATCAATATTTGTGACCTTAAAATGTAACGAACATGTGTCGTAATTTTTACTCATAAAGACCCATATTTGATCTTATCAGAAGGACCACTATTATTCAATGTTTGAAGAAAATCTATGAGCTATCGCTCAGGAGAGCTAAGAAAGTAAACTTTTAAATGCTTTTGTGGGCAACTTAGTAACAGTATACCAATACTTACACATCGCCGTCATCGGTTCTTGCACCAGAATATCTTCGTTCATTACCGGATATCCTAGTATGATAAATGAATTCATTTATGAAAAAATAATATGTTTTCAGAGTATCTTTGTTTATTATACATTTGCCATTGTACATTTTACATACTTAAATTGGGTGTGTCCTTGAAAGGTTTCAAATATTTTGAAATTCAATTTTAATGTTCTTTATCGTATTCTGATCGTTTTCATTTTGTTGGAAAACATTAATTAATGAGATAAAATACGCGTTTAAATTCACAAAATAATCAGTATTTTCACCTTTGGTTCCGGCAAGCTTTGGTAAAATTTCATTTTGGATAGAATGTAAATGAAATTGGTTACTTGGTATAAATATGTCGAAAAAATCACGAGCAATGTTCCCTCCTAGAGGGAAATCTAATAGGTTTAAATTATGTATTGATAGCAGCGGTGGCTTTCCATAGTATTTTATTTAAGCGGAAACATTCAAAGGCGGTATTGTATTCGGATATGTTTAGTTTTCACAATTTTTTGTTAACTTCCGGGATTTATTTAGCGGCATTCAATTTGTTTAATTTTGCCCATTGACATGTTTTGACGATAGCTCTTAAAGCAAATTTACCAATTTTCCTCTTGGATGTCTTCATATTGTTTTGAATGTAGATTCTGCATGCTTCTGGCCTGCAAAGCATACCTCCTTTCACGAAGAATATTTTGTCTGGAAAGAAGAATGTGACATTTATTTAATTTTTGTCTGCATGATGTTCCAAAAACATTATGCTGAAACGCAGGAAAGATCAACAAAACACCATGCTTGTGATTGATACAACTTTCACTACAACGTTTTTGTAAGTCCATATTTCAGCACTTATAAGCGTTTATCGGTCGTATTTTACATGAAGCTAATCCTGTAAGTAAATAAAATTCGCTAATCCGTTGACTCTATGACTTTATTTATATTAAACATAAATTACATTAAGAAGATTTATGTTCCTTTTCCTTATATTATATTGTTTGACAATATTGATCTGAAACATTTGAACATTCAATGACCTTCTGTCGGCAATTGTCGGATTCCGAAGAAAATCATACGGATTATAAAGTACGGCATAACGATATACATGGTTTATGTATAACTAAAAGTTACCGCCTATAACTAGCCTCAGTAATAATGAGTTATGACTTCTAGTTTCAAATGGTAGGTTGCAGGTTTGAATCAAAAAGTATGTTTAGGATTCGAATTTGCAACTTCCAAATTGCAGTGCTATCATACTTACCACTTGGGGGAAACGGACAAAAGCCCTCCCGGACAAAACCTCGCACATTCTTAGCCCAACAAAAGGAAATAGCCGCATAAAAGCATTACGAAAGGAATGACATCAAAGAGAAAGAACAGTAACCTGTTGACCCTCTAGCCACATTATTACTGTCCCGTGAGAGCTCCCGTCCAAAAATGACATTATAATTGTAACATATATATTTGTAGTTGTTTTCAATTGGCTTAAGTATGTGTATGAATAAAAAAACATTTTTCATTCAGAATATATCATTCTGAAATGTTTAACGAGATAACTTTTTACACGAATGTCGTTAAAAATAAAATCAACTTTTAATGTAACTTACACATTACCAGGCACGTTAAAATATCTTGAACTTTTAATTAAAGCTAATTTTAACTTCTTTTCATCATTTATTACTCAATTAATCTAAACTTTACATGGGAGTAGTCCTTTCATATTTAAGTATGCACTTACAGAATTTAACACTTCAGATGCCTGTCGGGAATGTGCTCAAACTCATACAAACACGCTTATGCCAATGGAAAACAAAAATATTCATGATTACAACTCTAACATGTTGAGTGCATTGATAGTAAATAGAAACTATTCAACGTACATATATGTATGCTGCGGTATGGATTTTGGCCGAATTGTTATTTTCACGGGAGAGCTTTTGTATGCCTAGTCATTTTAAAGGGGTGGCATTTGCCGGCCTTGTCATTTTTGGTAAGGGAGGGGGGGGGGTTTGTCTGGGATGGCGTTTGTCCTACACGCACCACTAGGTCATGGGGACGCTAGTACGAAATAAATTAAGTATCGCGAACTTTTCTATCATTAAATTGCAAGCAGTAAATCGTAATAAATTACGAAAACTAACGAAAAATCTCCTAAAAATTAATGAATTCCATGTCAATATTGCCAAAAAAAGTAATATTAAAATCTAAAAAAAATCCTTATCTAGCACTTATTTCACATGCAAAATCAAAATATCACTTATACCAGTACAGTCTTAATGTACCAACAATGAACGGAATTATTATTCTTCGCCGGTGTATTGAATAAAAAGTATTGTGTTTTTATGCTCTTACTTTTTCTGTTCTCGTTAATTTTTCATATGACATTTGTGTTACATACATTTTAATATAAAGGTATTACATACATGATATCGATATATCTATGCTTATGCTCTTATCATGTCTTTGTGACCGCCGCCATTGACCGATGCCTATGAATATGTTATATGTTTATATGCTAATAAAATAATTCAATTGAATGTATTATTATTCAATAATGTATAACTATTCCTTTCCCAATCAGAAAACCCTGATAAAGTGAATTGCAGCTACTGTTTATTCAGCACAACAACATTTTGGTGATTGGCATAACAATGAGACCATCTCTACTTTTACAAGTCATATAAATATATTATTATAACATATATAAAGTAGACATGTAAACCAATTCATCGCCAATATAACATTCATGTGTTTGTCACAGAAAAATAAACTTAATCTTTACTGTAGGAATGATTGACCACGCAATGCACAAATCACGCATTTTCATTATTATCATAATCATCATAATTCCGTCACTATTAGTCTGTGGTCTCATATATAATTTTATATAAATATAATTATGCCCTAGCTTTTAAAATTCACAATTTTTTTTAGATATTATTACTGCTATGTAGCAATGCTACATTGAGCACGATATAACATAACTTATTGCTTTACCTTAAGTTTTCAATATTTTATCGGATCATGCTATGAAAATGATTAAAATGTTTGCTATTTGCTTTAATTATCTCTCAAAGATTCTGTGATACTAAAGTACAAAAATTGAGAAATGTGTGTACCAAATAGGGGTCAAAAAGTCATGTCAAAAGGGATCAATGGGTCGAGAAGTTAAGGGGTCTAAATGTTTTTCTTGCCATTTCATGGGCATCAAATCTTATAATTACCCATTTCTTCACTACCAGCAGTTCGATAAAAATCGTTTTGAAATAAGAAATTTAACTTCGCATTACAGGCATTAGACCCACGTGGTAAAATGTTCTGTTTTTTTATCGGATCGCAGGCATTACTTCAGTTGTTCAGAAGATTTTTCTTCTGAGCATCACCTTCATCAACGCCGTTGTAAACATGTCCAGAGAAGTTAGATGCCGTCAACCTCACCGATTTGAGCACATGAAAGCAAGGCCATTCATGGATAGAGCCTCTCCACGTGGTCAATCGAGATGGGTGGTACAAATAACATTGGCAGGCAATGTTGTTCAATTTCCAGTGGCGTTTCTGGAAGTCTGCAATGGTCTGAGAGGGAAACTGTATCGATGGAAACCCAGACTGACAATGGCGTATGCCAGCAGATAAAGAATTGTCTCCCCGAGCATGTGATATGGGTTGTAGGTTCGTCAATAACTTAATAGGTAAAAAGTGGGCGAATAAGATATCTTCTATAAATCTCGATTTGGAGAAAAAGAAATGCACAGTGAAGTGGCGAACCAAAGGCGGCATTACATGGGATGGGGGTTCCAAAAAGTGAGCAGGATGCTTGCTTAACATGCTGCAATCCAGGCTTGTTTCGTAACGATTGCGTGCATTTATCTCCGATTGGCCTTGACATCTTCATATCATCTTTACAATAACTTGAGTCTTTAGCTAGTAACAATAGCAATAAGGCTGTGTTCGATTAATTCAAAATATTGGATAATTTTTATGTCCGCATCAAATAGCATGTGGCCCTCAATACATCAAGTGCACTTCGGTGGGCCATATTGTAAGTATCACATTTTCTTCACATCGTTACATTGTATTTTATTCACACTTTACTTATTTGACCATCTTATTGTTTTGAGATCACTGGGATTATTTTCGCCCCGTTTTCTCTTTAGCTATGATTATGCAGTACCTTTTCCTTGCAGGGTATGCATAGTTTATGCTTATTATCACAGTTTTCGGGCATTTTTGCGCTGCTATGTTGTCTAAATGCATTTTGGCTACAGGCATGTTTCTCATTTTATAAATTAACTTCCGTCCTTAATTGGAATTTAGTTCTTCTTTTATTTAAGTTCTTTAATTGTTTTGTATATTTAAGGTACGGCCTTATTCCAAAAATACACGTGTTTTTTTTATTATCTAGGTTCTTTAGACAACTAATGCATACTATCACCTATGGTATCTGTAAAGACATGTTGTCTCTGTTCGACGAAGTATATAATGTATCTATTTCGCAATAAATATCTAACATGCTGTTAAAAAATTATTCAAATATTATTAAACTTATGTGTGCGGAACATTTTATTCGTTTCTGTGGCATATTGCTATTTTAATTACATTTTATACCCTACCCCTTTTACTTCAATTTTCATTGTGCAAACATCTTAATCTGTTTCGTTTATTGTTTTAGTAACACTTCTTATTTAGGGTATTGCTTTTTTTTTAATTCGAAGCAGAGTCTTTCAAATAGAATACCTCACACTGAAAATAACGGGAGCCGAACATGTCGGTTTGTCGCAAACGGATAACGCAGTCGTATGACGAATGAATGGAAATCTAGCCTTAACGCTACAAAATGTAAAAATGTATGCAGAATAATGTTGCAAAAGAAAGAATTTTTGACCTAATTATAAATAAGCTAAGATAGACAAGATAGACTGTTCGATTAAACAAATATATAATTGCACTATTATAGTTTTGCGATTTGAAAACTGCCGACCCAAAAATGTAAAATTTGTACAATTTGTTTCTTAATAAGTAAACATACTATTGCACTAAGTTAGTTGTTAATTGTATTAAGTAATAAACATGATTTGTTTACCTTTTTACAAATTGGAATTATGAAATGAAGAATTACAAAATAGTTTACTTGTAAAAATATATTGAAATTATTTTAACATTTTGACACAAATGATAATGGGTAAGGCCTACCGAAGATTTGTTGCATCCGGTAAAGTGATAGGTGCCAGATTCAATATGCCAGTATCTATGTCCCTGTGTATAACTCTGTTTTCACTGGTTACAAGATCTTTCCGATGTTCGTTCAAACTATCAAATCCTTCCGAGTCTCTGCAAAAAATGTAAAATCGGTTTATTTTCCCTATTTTGCGACAATGCGTCTCATTCTTAAAACCGTTATAATTTTATCCTAATCTACAAGGGGCTGGACGTGAAGTGGTTACACGCTTGGTTGAAAGCTAGAAAATTGGTTGCAAACTTGACAAAACCGCTACCGAGTCATGAATATTTATAACAACGGCACGTTTTTTTTCAACAGGTAAGAGGGTTTGTATGTTATTTTAAAATGTTTTAATATGCTCATTCTTTAAGGCATCGTTTTCGACACACAGGGGTTTAGGTTAAATCTTCTTTACAATTCCTTAGTTTCAAGATGTATGCTGTAACACAAAATACAGATTATTGAATTGTGTCAAAGATATAAAACTGAAATACATTATGTAATTAGGAAAAGTTTCAGCATTTAATTATAACTAAAAAACAACAAAAAACAAAACACACACGCACCAACGCACACACAAACACTTGCGAAATGATAAAACTCAGAAATTTTCTTTATATTATTAATATGGTTCAACAACCACCATAAAACCCTAAGGTTTAATTATATTTTATTTAAAAAAATCCCGTAAATCTTAAAAAAGATTCTAAAAGTAGGTTATTATGCCTTATTATAATCTTGTTGCGTTGGTTTACTTTGTTTAATATTTTAGAGATTGTTTATATGGTAAAAACTTTACTGCTGGAACTGTTCATGGCTCATTGTGTTGCTTAAAGAATTTTCAAAATTCAGAAGGTCCGGTTGTGAAATGTAAAAGGTTTTTGCTGCCTACAACATGTCTATATAACATTAAATTAAGTTTTAAAATATTCCAATGATACTGAAGCTCCTGGTCACCTTGAAATTAGAATGAGTAAAAATATGCAAACATTTTATTGGACAGGACTTTACAGCTATAGGAGAGGTTATGCTTCTGGATGTGAAGCTTGTTCTAAGAGAAAAGAGCCAACCCTAACAAAGAGAACTCCGACGTAAATTGTCAGAAGTGGCTATTCGCTTGAAAGATTTTTTTGGAATCGTCCCAAAATGATGCAGGAAATACGTATATTTTGGTGATTATTTCACCAAATGGGCGGCGGAATGTTCTCCAGTGTCTAATACAGTTACTGAAACATAAGATGACAAAGATATATAACCAAGTTTAGGATTCAAAACAATATTCATTCTGATCAAGGCTTACAATCTAAACATTAATTTTTCGTGACCTTTATAACTTGCTGCAGATAAAGATTACAAATACAACACCATGTCATACTCACTCCGAAGGAATGGTTAAGAGGTATATGTTGAATTCTACTAAAACCGTTGCTGTGGGGGTGGGGTGGGGGCGTGGGCGGTTCCTTGCTTTTTTCATTACTGTCCTTGAACTGGCTCAATCACTCAGAGTCTGCAACATTGTCAATTTTATCGTTTTAGGCGTTCTTTAGGGAATCCGCTTTTCTTTAATTTGATAAAACACTTGCAAACAGTATGTATGTTAAAATAACATAAGAACTGAGATGAGTTACTCCCATATGTTATGATGGCTTAATAACCATGATTACCGCCATATAAACACATTTGCGGATGTTATCAAAATTGTACAATTTCTTGTAAATTGTTAAATTCTGCTTAAGCCGGTGCTAGGGGGTTTGGACTTGACAGTACCGTTCATGAACAGGCTCAATATAACCGAGCCTGCAACATTCTCAATTTTGCCGTGTGGGCTTTCTTTAGGGATTCTGTTTTTCTCTATTTTATAGGTTAAGTTGACACGAAACGACAAGGATGTCGCCGGATGTGTGAGATCAGAATAATATCTACTTTTTCTATTCACAGAAATCTCAGATATGTGGTCCGTGGAATATATTGCTATTTCTTGGGCAAATGTTTGAGAGGGATAAATTTGTTTTGAAGATATAAAAGGATTGGATTTTAAATGTTTATTTAACAGAGGGGATTGTTGAAAAATAGAGGAAAAAACTAGAAATGTATGATAATCTATAGGACACAGGTGCCCCGACTCTCCACTGTCTACTAACGTACAGCAGAACAATATGACAGAGAGATAGACAAAGGAAATTCCACATGACTCCCCATACCTTTAAGTGGTTGGGGTATAAAAACGACACCCAATTTTACCAAATTTTGACATCATGATTTTTTTTTCAAACCACAGATGCATAGCTACACATGTTTAAATGCTGACCAACCTTTCTGTAAAGTTCCATGACTCTGGGTCAAATACTTTTTAGGCTACGCAAAAGTTGAAATTTGAAAATGTTATACTCAGGCCTTTATATTTTGATATTTCTGTTGACTGACCCGCCGCATTCTTTTGGGGTGAATGAAAAAAATCTTAAACACTTTAGAGGTACGCATGACAAAACATTTTAAATGGATTTTACTAACTTAAGGACAGTTTCTCTACAAGAACTGACTATACAATAAAATATGATAAACAAAATCAACAAGGAAAGGCGACGTTCAATGAACGCAACCCCCATATGACCCAGCAACAAGAACCAGTGGTAAGGAGCCCAGGCGGACCCCAAACAAAAACAGGACAGGGCAAAGACAGAGCACGGACAGGTTAATCACTAGATGATAAATAATTTGTAACTGATTAGGAATACAAAGAAAACAAATACAGGTGAACAATTTCAAATGCTGACCAACATGTCGACTCTAAGTCAAATACTTTCTGGGCTACGAGCGACATAAGTTGAAAATTGCAAATTTCTTACAAGTTAAAGGTAAATACTGAATAAATCCACAAGCAAATCCCAGGTACATAATTACACATGCTGACTTACATTCTTGTAAACGTTCATGACTCCATAGTCTAAAAACTTTACAGGAATGACTGACCAACATTTCTGTAAGGTTTCAAGACTCTAGGTCTCCAGTACCGTCCATGAACAGACTCAATCAAACCGAGCCTGCAACATTTTCAATTTTGCCGTGTTGGGCTTTCTTTAGGGATTCTGTATTTATCTATTTTAAGATCACATCCGTGTTATTTGTGCCGTGTGGCGGCTGTAAAAAGTCTCCCCGTACATTTAATCAATGATGTTATGTTTTCGATCCTTGAAGATCGTTCAGCACGACATTATTGTTGTCCTCGTGGTATTTTTAGTTTCAACTTTCGGCATTTTCTAGTTGGGTGGTTCCAATATTCCTACTTGAATAATGTTGAATCACCCTTAGGATATGTTGCCTGCTTTTTAAGTTTGTCTTTTGACGTCTTATCTGTGATACGCAGGCTTCGTAACCTCTGATCCCCTTTCAAAATTCCATTTTTTAGTTCTGCCCATTGTTTTCTCGTTTAGGGCACACGCTTTTTATTATTTGGGGACCATACGCCGCTTTTCATGGAATGGCACGGAAGTGTCACATTGAAGGTTCCATGATAACCGCCGTATGAACACATCTGCGGATGTTTCTAAATTCAAATTTTTACTATTTCATGTTTAAATGTTGAATTCTGCTTAAGCCGGTGCTAGGGGGCGTGGACGGTTACTTGCACTTTCCAGTACCGTCCATGAACAGGCTCAATCAAACCGAGCCTGCAACATTTTCAATTTAGCCGTGTTGGGCTTTCTTTAGGGATTCTGTATTTATCTATTTTCTAATATTGTTTTGGCTATGCGCGAGACAATTTGAAATAGCAAATGTTTACTAAAAATAAATACTGAGTCTAGGGCAATAACTCTGACAAAACTAGATTAATCCACACGCAAAACCCCAGGTGCACAACTTCACCTGCTGATCAACATTTCTTAAAGTTTGTTGACTCTAGCTCAAGCACATTTAGAGATACATGCGATACAACATGAGAACGGACGGACTGACAGCAAATCTAAATGCCCCCCCCCCTATCCTAAAGAGAGGGTACAAAAACTGGTTTAGAAATATAAGCTTTTAAGTTGATATCCAATGAAAAGGTTATGAAAACTCCCAAAAATATAAATGAATATATCAAATCAATCCTCAAACAAAATATATTTTAACATTTGACCGTTTATTTTGTAGCAGTTAGATCAGTAATCAAAAGTGTCATCTGATGATAGCCAATTGCATGCTGCAGCTACTGTGTAGGATAAGGCACAAAATCATTAACACGGCCAAAACGTTTATTTAATTTAAGGGCCATAACTCAGCTAAATATCCTTAAACCGGAAACACGTCAAGTATTTGAAAAAACCAGAGATACCAATAAAATAGAGTAAAACAGAATCCCTATAGAAAGCCCAACACGACAATATTGAAAATATTGCAGGCTCGGTTTGATTGAGCCTGTTCATGGACGGTACCGGAAAGCGCAAGTCACCGTCCACGCCCCCTTTAAAAAGCAGGCAACATATCCTAAGGGTGATAAAATAGATAAAATATCCTAAGGGTGATTATACAGTATTCAAGTAGGAATACTTGAACCACCCAAGTTGAAAATGGCCAAATAGAAAAAACTAAAAGTACCACATAACATGTATACACAACAATAATGTCGTGCTGAACGATTTCTAAGGATCGAAAATATAACATCATTGATTATGTGTACGGGGAGACTTTTTACAGCCGCCACACGGCACAAATAACACGGATGTGACAATAACATTGAGTAAAACAGAATCCCTAACATGCCTAAAGAAAGCCCAACACGACAATATTGAAAATGTTGCAGGCTCGGTTTGATTGAGCCTGTTCATGAACGGTACTGGAAAGCGCAAGTCACCGTCCACGCCCCCTAGCACCGGCTTAAGCAGAATTCAACATTTAACACGAAAATGGTGAAATTTTGAATTTAGAAACATCCGCAGATGTGTTCATACGACGGTCAATATGGAACCTTCAATGTGACACAGTAGTGCCATTCCATGAAAAGCGGCGTATGGTCCCAAAGTAAATGAATGCTTTTGCCCCAAACGAGAAAACAATGGGCGGCACTAAATAAAATGAAATTTTGAAAGGGGATCTGAGGTTATGAAGCCCGCATATCACAGATAAGATTTAAAAGACAAATTTAAAAAGCAGGCAACATCATTGATTATATGTACGGGGAGACTTTTGTCCTGTTTCAAATCAAAAAATAGATAAATATAGAATCCCTAAAGAAAGCCCAACACAGCAAAATTGAAAATGTTGCAGGCTCGGTTTGATTGAGCCTGTTCATGGACGGTACTGGAAAGTGCAAGTTACCGTCCACGCCCCCTAGCACCGGCTTAAGCAGAATTCAACATTTAAACGTGAAATAGTAAAATTTTGAATTTTAATTGTCAACAAGTTTCATTTGAATTGCATCAGCAGTATAAGAAAAGTAGTCAGGACAAAAATTAAAAACAGTCATTTAAGGACCAGAACTAAAATGCCGAACTAGACTGATAATCCCTGTAGAGTTTGGATGAAGTTGCACAAGAAGTTTCTTAGGAGTAATCATGACAAGTGTTGTAACGGACGGTCAGACAGACAGACAGACAGACATACAACAAAAAAGTGATCCCTAGAAGTTGTGGCTAATTTGTCACATTAATCAACATAAACAGGCACAACACCTTTCACCTTTTTATTAAAGGGTCATAACTCATTCGGCAATTAAAGTCACTATTTAGCGTTTTTTTTGGCATGATGTACCTCGTTAGCAACTGGCTGCGTGTGACATGAAATTATTTGTAAAGAGTTGCTTTCGCTAAACGATATCAAATAGAGAAAGCAAGAATCCCTAAAGAAAGTCCAACACAACATAATTGAAAACGTTGCAGGCTCGGTTTGATTGAGCCCGTTCATGGACGGTACTGTAAAGTGCAAACTACAGTCCACGCCCCCTAGCACCGGCTTAAGCAGAATTCAACATTTAGAATGAACTGGTACAATTTTAAATTTTGAAACATCCGCAGATGTGTGCATATGGCGGTATCATGGAACCTTCAATGTGACACTAAGTGCCATTCCATGAAAAGCGGCATATGGTCCCAAAGTTAAAAAATGCCGTGCGAGATGATGAATTTAAGTACATGTCTATTGGCTTGCTAATGCTAGCAAAAAGACAGGAACATGGTTTTTAAAGCAGCTACAAAGCACACTACAAATAATAAGTATCAAGTTACGTACATATCAAATAGTTGTATATTGGATATAGTTAATGACTGATCATCCGATCCGATTGTTTCTGTGCAGTCGGTCGTCGCTGTTGTACTGCTGGTCATTGTTCTGCTTGTTACTGAATTTTCAACAAGGGTCCGTGAGCTGCCTGAGAGTCTGTAAAATTTTCAAGACAGGACAAAAATATCATAGGGCAAAAATATGCAATACGTATAATTTAAATTTGGTTTTCAAATCACCAACCTGGTCTGTACATCCTATGCATACCTATTTCTCGTATGGTAGCATACATATTACTAGAACCTCAATAGTATTATTTTTATCCTACATTAACAAACAGTTAATTCAAATGACTTTGCTAAAAAGAAATATTTCAAAAGGAGTAGCAAGGGGTCTCATAATTCTGAATTTATGGTTTTATCTAATATATATTTTATGTTTATGACATATTTGTATCACAAAAATTATTTTATAAGTACACGATTGTTCAACAACTTAACGTTAAGACAATAAATGACAGTGAAAATTGAAGAAATAAAATGCACATTTTTTTCAATAATTATTATTGAAAATATGAAACGATTTGGGCCAATCAGGTAATTAGTGTTTTCTTGCTGTTTGTTTACTATTGTTTATTCTATATTATATTCTCATCAATGTGATACAAAATATCCAACATATCTTATATAAAAAATATTCAAATGCATCAACATGCACATTGCCACTCTCTAAGACGTGACCAAGATATAAAACTTTTTTACAGGGTATATGAGAATGATCTCACAATATCGTTATTATACAGAACAAATACAAAATGTTGATCATCATTCCAATTATGAAACTCAGGGTTAATTTTATAGGCTTATTCATACAATCCGTTTCTTATATTTTGATATCAAGAACATCCTCATAAGACATGTTTTTCGTTTAAACTACATTTCTACAAATAGGACAAAGTCTAGCATTCACATGCATATTTTCATACCACTCCGTTTCTAGACGTAAAGACCTGAATTTAGACAGCGCGGATCTGTAGGGACATGCATTACCTTTAATAATAGTGTTTCAAATCTCTTTATGACATAAGTTGATTACGACCATTTCAAAAGGGACCAGACACATTATTAACACTTTTCATCTAGCTAATTTATTTCTTCCACAGTGCTGCAAAAAACTTTAGATGATATATCACTTTAATTTATTAAAAAATTAAGATTTACGCAAGACATGTGATTGTTAAACATAAATTGCCATTTTTCACACCTACCATTTCTGTCATTTATACATGTCATAAAAACATTATACATGTAGTCACCATGGTGCAAAATTTGTGCCACTGTTTGGGAGACAGACCGTCGTTGCTTTACACGAGGAGAAAACCATACTATGATGTTGAAATAAACAAAATTACCGCTAAATGATTGAGGGCAAACTGAACATGTTTCTTTTATAAATGAGTGATCCGAGTGCATCTACTTGATATTAGCGAGCTGTCAACAATTCTATCTTTGTTTCCACAACTTTAAACTGGATAGCAGCATACGGTCAATAAGGGATAAATGTGTTACTCAGTCATAAAAGTATACATGTAAATAAGTATATTTATGACATCTTAAAGTATATTGTAATAAAAGTATTTGGATATCGTTAATCATTACCCATAAGTTATTATAACCATAATTGACTTAGTAATAATTGCATTCATTGAACGCCGCCTTTCCTTGTTTATCTTGTTTTTCATATTTTAGACAATATTCTATTCTAACATTTTAACATTTAACACGTAACGAATTTACGCTGATTATGTTTAGTAGAAACACCGAAACCCTCCATTATGTGAGAGAATAGAACACTTGTTCATTCTCAAACATAATAGACAGTCCGAAGAGTGATTCTTTTTTTTAAACATTTTCTCTTTTGTTTTTATAATGGACAGTTGTATCAATCAATGAATTTATGCTAACATTGAAAATTACTTGCCTCCAATGTTAACATATTGAACACTTGAAATAACTTAATTTTGGAGAAGGTGGGGTGGGGGGGGGGGTGTGGGTGAGGAGAGGGGATGCATTAAGTTAAAAAGCATGATTACTATGCTTAACTGTCTTATTTTCTGTTTATGGCCAGGAATATTAACATATTTCTATCGTTTAAACATTTTCGATTTTAATACATAATGGAATCATAAAGTAAATGTATGTATGTTTTAAATATCAGTGAATATTCTTTAGTTTTTCCCAGCATAATAATGACTACATCATTACAATTCTTCATTATTTAACAAATACAAAATTCTGTTTTGCTTGTTTTTACCAAAAGAACCTAACTGAATGAAATCAAACAAGTTTCACTTGCTGCAGTTAATTAAGGGTAATAATCTAATGAAAAGTTAATAACATTGTGTCAGAAACAAAGTGTCAATATAATAAATGTTTTTTATGTATCATATCGTATATACACGGGCACTTCCATTGGAAAATTAAAAAAATGATATGTTTGATATTGTTTATATCTTGCGAATTTTTGTTTCATTTAATAATGATCAATTCATGAATACTATGCATTTGTAATAGAGGAATAGGCCTTTCTCAAATTGTATGCATACTTTACATTCCATCACCAGAGAGAGGCTTACACGGCATGAATGTAAACAAATATTGTCTGACCTGATAAGCCCAAGTGTCTTAAACTTACCGGGAAAATCTCATTTTCATTGTTGCGTTCCACTATGTTATTCCAATTCTATATATGATTATACAGTACATTTTCATAAAATACCTAAGGATGTGAGTATAATAAAGGAAGGGATTGTCAAAATAAGATTGGATGAATAAGAACATTTTAAGGTAAAATTTCATTGTTCTTTTCTTTTTTAAATCAAGCTACTTTAGCTGTATTACTACTTACCTTAATTAATCTGATTTCTCATTGTTTTAAATATTTCATTTAATTATTAACATAATAATATGTGTTGTTCATAACGTTCATTTAAATACCACACTTACAAGTTTTACATTTAAGAAATAATTGCTTCAGAATCTAAAGGTATAATGCAAGACTTTATTTTCATTTTTACAGAAAAGTTCAGCCATTGTAAAACACAAAACCATTATCTGTGTAATTAAAATATAAATTGATATAAACTAGAAATGTCATAATTCTTGTTTCCAGTTAAAATATATATATTTTTCAGGAATTCCATTGGTAACATGCCTATCATGAACACAAATTGATAATTGGTATTTGAATCACCTTTAATTGTTATATCTCTTCATGGCAGTGGCATAACAGATGAAAAAGAAACTATCAATTAGTTCAAAGAATAATTACGGAAAACTAAGGAAGAAAACAAGCAGATAAACATCAATGTGATATTGAACGTTTGATACAAAAAAAAATCAAATGATGACAGTTGTATAATTCGTTATAGAGGATTTCCAACAAATATAGATTCATTACAGATTTTAATGTTATAAAACAACAGCAAAACATTAAGAGCTTTTATTATGTAGCAAACATAACAATCAGCTTTGCTGGTAGAAAGAGAGGGATGTAACAATTTGTCGAAAAGTTTTATGGTACTGCTGCAGGGAATTTGTCAACATGTTAATTACATTTAATATGTTGTCCTCTTATTACATTATATACTGTTGAGTGAATATTTCTTGGAATGAAACTCGATGCTGCCTTTCCTAATACTGAAATGTTCTGCACAGGTTTTCCTTGAATGTTCAGTCGCCTAAGTACATGGAATGTCTTGGGTTGGTTAGTCCAGGTATTGCTTTGTATCCAAATGATTGTTATATACCAGCTAGTACAGGGTTCAAACAATATGGACACATAATCAAGTCGAACTAACTTAACAAGAGCAATAAGCGAATGATACCTCAGTGTAATTGGTTATATAGTAAGTATTTTATACTGTAATTAATTAAAATAGTTGATAATATATAGGTTTTTTTGTGTTCCTTACTTAACATGCAATGTATTTTAACACTGGTGTAAACAACATCATGTGTTATGATACTGAAAATCCATTGAAATGTATAAGACGGGAATGTCATGTCTAAACAAAATATTATTTTGATTTGATATGGCTGTCTATAAAATTAACCATCCAAAATTTTGGACTTTCAAATACAAAGTGAATAAAACTTATTGTTTTTTTTATTTCAAAAAGCTTTGGGAAGTATGGCACAGAATTCTGCATCCAACTGTTTACATCTTTTATCACTTAATTGCTTTATACACTCTTTCCCAACATGTGTTTAGATTCGCAATAAAATACTGATAACACAGACCATGTCTGTATAAATTGCAAAGAGGTAATCTGATATTTATACTAACAAGGAATATTAGAAATTACTAGAAATTATCATAAACATTAATTCACTTCTCAGGTCTTGAATACATGTATATCCTTCACTGTATATAGTGATATCCTTCACTGTATGTAGTGTAAATTAAACCCTGTTGTTGATTTATTTATCTCAAGAAGATATTTTTGTAATATTAAATATAGTTTTCAACAAGTATGTAGTGAACGGTACAATATCAAGATCTCTGCCACTGTAGGAAGGTCTTTCGGCCATATTGTAACGGTTTTAAGGCACACAAACCCTGTCGGTGAAAAGCTAGCTCACCACCAAGAGTGGTTTATGCCCTTATATATTGGATACTCTCCTTTATGTGAATTCACCATCTTTTGTTTTTGCATATTGTAATGCTCATTATATGACGTTCTACCAACGTCGTTACATTACTTTCCCCTCCGATAAGTCTCGTCCCGAGACTTGGCCTGGGAAATCTGTGGGTAGGGCAACTCCGGTCTGGCAGTTGTCTACATCCCCCACACTGGCCACCAACACCCAATTGTATAAACGTTGGTTAAATTAACCCTGGGTTAAACGCTAACCGCGGGTTAAATTTAACCAACTTTGGTTAACTAACCAATTTGGTTAGTCACTTGTATAAACCGAGATAACCAAAAGGTTAACTAACCAAAATGGTTAAAATTAACCGCTGGTTAAACTAACCAATACTAGTCCCGACATGCAATAAATTCTATATCCGGTTATGTCATTTTCGCGGAATATGTCAAAATTGACACATGGTTTACGCTTCCATTTTTATTACAATCGCAAATTTTGATAGTAGAGTTAAAATCAGTTCAAATTTAAATGAAGATGTTAATTGTCACCACACTAATTACATATCATCATTAAACAAATGTACAAAATATAACTTTTACGTAGGATGAACTTGTTTATGACCTCGGAACTGGTGTTTACTGTTTAGGTATCAAGTATACCACGAATAACTTGCATGGTTGCTATGGGCTTTGTTTACAAATTAAAATGTACTGCAAATGAGCAAATATTCGCTGATATAATGTTATAAATCAAAATCATCCGTCAACTGGGACAGAAAATGGTTAGAATGTAACTAATTTCATACAAGAACCACTCAATGCAGAAGTATTGACGCATATATTTTCTATCAGATTCGTACCTAAAACGTTCGAACCCAAAATATTTTGTGTAACAGCAGATGCAATGTTTGAATGATTTTGCCCCAAACTACTCTCTGTAGTTTTACTATATAACATATGAAACTTCTGTTTCAGTTACTAAATACCATATCAGTCACTTAGGGAAATCTTGTTGCATTTGCCAAAGCTATGTTTCATGAAAGAAGAGCTTTTAAAATACTGAAAGTTTACCATAATAAAGCAAAATAAATAAAAAAATAAAAGTCTACTTATTGCTAATTACCCCCCCCCCCCCACAAAAAAAAAACAACAACACATAAATGAAAACAAAATCATTTTTGCTTTCTTGTGACTGTATGGCTGACATCCTTTATTTTAAACATTCAACATGTTTTACCTTCAATTCTCCCTAGTCACAACACTCAAATGCAAAATTAACTTGGTTCCCAGCAGTAAATTTACTAAACAGAGGAGAAACTAAATGATAAATAATTATAAAAAAAATGTCATCTTGAATTTACCATAATTAATTAATTTATGAACAATCAAAAGTGATTTTTAATTTACCTCTACTTCAATTTTGAATTATTTTTATTGATGTTGTTTAGGAATTCTAAGATCTTATATATTTATTACTTATACAAGGATCTTGTAAATACAAATACTTGACACTTAATGAATGATTGGAACCTGTCACTGGCCAACATTATACTAGTCCAGTACCTTTAGGAATAGGCTATATGTCATTGAAGTAGGTAAACCAGGGTTTCAATATATATACATAATGTAATGAATAGTGTATGACTGTTACCATAAACAATAAGTTATATATAGTTTAATAAGTGCATAGTCTATAACTGGTTAAAAATGAAAAAGTGTCCAAATATGTTTTCTAGAGTTCTATCTATTGTTAAGATATTATAAGTTTGTAAAATATTTTCATCTACATTGAAAGTCTGAATAAATTATTTGATAAATAAAATACATCCTCATTGAACAATGGAATAATGGTCTAAATCTCTCTCTCCCTCCCTCTATTTATTGCTTATTTATTAACCCCCTCCCTCCCCATATTTGTTTAATAACATGATTTAAGTATGTCTCTGAGTAAAATAACATACATGCTGATGTTAAAGCTTTCTTATTTACAAACGGTCACACCCAGTTGACAAATAAAGAACGAAGTCTGTTTTTCTAAGAATTTTAGAAGCTAAAGCCCTATTATTAAATGAATTGTGGGAACATATCTATCGTATAGACAATATCAAACATAATCTTTTAAGTCTTCCAGCTGAGTGTCTGTATTCTTAGTATGAGAAGTTAACATTAAGTGGCAGATGTGTCAATTTAATGGCTCAGTACGATTTTTTTCACAATTTCCCGCACTGAGACATTATATTCACACATCTACAGGTACGAAAGAATAACTGCCCATTATTTTGATAAATATTGGATGGACAAGTGTCCAATGTTTAAAAACTGGATAGTTTTAACAAATATTAAATCGATTCGTCATATGTCAGTACAATAGACACAATAGTGTGCAAATACAACAAAATAGGATGTCACATGTTTTAACTTTTTCTAAAGATACGAGCGTATTTCTATTTTGAAATTGTAATTAGTTTATGTCAAGGTCTAAATAATTCTCCGGTAATGTTTGTACCTTTTTTAAGACTAAGAACTATATTTACAAAATAACACATTTTTTTTGTCTCATTATTTTACTATATGCAGATGATATGGTGTTATTTAGACATTATGTAGAAGATTTACCATCCAGTCTTTACTTATTATTATATAAGTATTGTACACGATAGGGTTTGCATGTGAATACTAAAAAATTGTTATAATTAGAAAAATGGGTCCCCCGTGAGACAAAAGGAAATGTTTTGATAATAACGAATAATAAGAGATAATTAAATACTATTTAGGGGTGGTTCCAATAGCACGCATTCATTTGTTTTGCTTTATCAATTTATTTTTGAAAACATCCTAACAGCCTGTTATATACTATGAAATAATATTAAGGAGGTAGAATTGTCACCATATGTTCCTTTACAATCATTTGTTGGTTCAATTCTAAATTATGCATGTTTTAGATGGGAATTTACTAAATAAAAAGACTTTAAAAGTGAACATCTGAAATATTGCAAATACATTATATATAGGCATAAAGAAAGGTTCAAGTAATAGCGCTGTATACGGAAAATAGGAAAAGTACTTTTTGTAATTGAAAATATATGTTCAAATTATGAAATATTGGTTGATTTCTTTAATACAATTTTTATTATTTTAAGTAAGATATATAAAACTAAATGATGATGTCAAAAATTGGACATACAATGCTAACATGTTATAAGAAACATATAGCGTTGCTTATATTTATTAAAACATAATGAAATCAATATAAAAACATTTTTGGTACATTTGAAACAAAAATAATTGATTGCTTTAAACAATATGGCACTGGAGGAGAAGAGTTTTCCTTTGTTGGAAACTTATAATGTCAGTGTTTAATTGATTTGTTAATCATGTATTACTAATTGATCAATAACATAATTTCACAACAAAAAAACAGAGAGGATTTTCCCCACTTTTCTTGAATGATTGCTTATAAAAGTGTTGTTTACTCACATCGTTGTTTGATCACTTTCTTGTATTGTTGAATATAACGAATCTTTTCGACTTCTTGCTTCGGCTTCACATTCAAGCAGCCAGCTATAATAATACAGAGAAGAGCATCAAATTTAGTACATTTTACTTTGACTCGATTTTAACTCTAACTTATGGGCGAAGTAGTTTTAGGCTTCCAAGAAATTAAGAATCTATCATCAAGAAGTACAAAATTAATAATCCAATTTATAATAATCAAGTTTAAAGTGCAATCAGCGAGCTTACTATTTTATATGGAGCAGAGTGTTGAACAGTTAAATTAAGTAAGATATTTATTTACTATATACAAATATATTGGATTAGAACTAAAGATACGCACCTTTTGGTATAATCTGAAAAAGCCCCTTCTTTAATGTTTTTCGCTTGTCTATCTGATTTTCTTTTGCTGTAGTGAAAACAATAGATGAGATATTTTATAGATTTGTCAATAATCTAAAATTATATGGAAAAAAGGAATAATTATTCCGTGGCACACTAAGGCCTAGCCAACATGTTATTCTCGTTCCCATCCTCATTTAAATTGTACGAGGTATTCCATTTTTCTGTTAAATACGACAGACACTAATGCTTAAAATAACATTATTATATGAAATTCAGAACAATTTAACTTCGTTTAACGAAAAATCAGATGTTTCGTCAAGGTAAAATGACAAATTAAACAATAATGTTTCGTTAAATAGTATTTAGATTTCGTATTCATCTAATAATTTGAACATAACTAATGTTAAAATCATTACCGGAGATCTTGAAAGTATGCTATTTAAAATTTACTATAGAGGAGGTTGTCGCAACAACAACACAATAATAACTTGTTATCATTCTTAGGTAAAATGGCAAATAATTTCTTCGAATATTGATACACAATCGAACATACACTTAATTCATGTAGAGCTCTAAATACAAACTTAATCCAGGTATCCATTAATAAACCTTTTTGGCCTTAACGGCTAAATGCTAATGTTGTTGTGAGCAATTAATATAACAATTTGCAATCATGTTTTAAGCAAATGAATTCATGTAATATGGATTTTCCTAAATTTTGATAAACTTGTAGATTTTATTCACATTTTTCCTTTATGATCTGTAAACCCATGTCAAATTTATTATTATATTTTCATGAGTATTTACTTTATTTTGTTAAGTTATACTCCATAAAGTGTGCAGTCCCATTAACATTTATTAGGCTATTATTCTAGGTATTGGATATTAATGGTTGATACTATTAAAATGAATTATTGAAGACTTTTTATTAACCTTAAGTTTTAATAAATACATACACTTATTTTAAACCAATTGTACCAGTATACTGTCTGGCTTTAAATGTTTATACTAATTCTTAAATGCCCTTTGTTTTCTCCAGTAGACGGCATACAAAGCCGAAATAAACACTATCAAATATTGAGAAAAAAAAATCAAGGCAAAAAAAAAAAAAATGGGGAAATATTACATATGCAGTACAAGAAAATGCAAGAATAAGAAGTAAGGCAGCTTATAAAATTTATTCGAGCAACTAGCATGGGGATTGGAAAATAGCAACAAGAAGTATCTTTAAAAAAAATACTCGGCCGAAGTTAAGCTGGTTAATTTGCATACGCTATTTATAAGTTTCCGATACATATAGAAATGTTAGCAATGCTTGAATGACATTGTCGAAATGTTAGCAATGCTTGAATTACATGGTCGTTAATTTCTTTCAACTAAGATGAAGGCCTTTTTGTAAACGTAGAAATAAAATTATAAGCATATTGATGTCTCTTTTAAGTTGGATAACTTCCATTTTACTTTTTAATTTTGTATATAAGCAAAGCAAGAATGCCTGCACAAATTTTGTCCAAAAAGGAAACAGTGGTTCCCATGCCAACAGCCTTTAAATAAGGGAAACAAGTGCAAGAGGTAACCAGTTACAACAACAGCGGATAGTTTTCTTTGAATGAAAACGTTTTACGCATGATACAATAACCAGACTTGAAGAAAATCCAGAATCATAAATTCCCATATAACGGATTCAAATTGCCGCTGCAAAATCAATTATTACTAACATTCAAGCAATATTTTGTTGTTCAGTATAAGGTACTAAATCGTAAAACAGACGGTTATTATCACCTATAAATCTTCCAGGAATAAAACCACTTTGATCTGTACTAATTAGTTGGTCTAAAATCGATTAAGCTCTATAAGCAATACATGCAGGTATAATAATATTTTGTTAAGTAAAGATATGGGATGCAAGTATTTTAAGTGTCGTTATTCATTGTAAACCTTTGACTCCTAATTTGTCTGTTTATAAAAGGTCCTCAGTTATATACTAGTAATTAATAGAATGCAAAACAAAATCGCCCATACATTTCTAGAAACATTTGAAAAACGCGGTGGTAAAACTATTTATCCGTGGCGATGTTTCATTTGCTATTCGTTTGAAACTTAACAGAGCTTCTTCACTAAAAATAAAACTTGTGATAAAATTATTACATAAGTAACATATAAAAGGTAATTTAGATCAGCCCGAAGATTTTTCTTTGATGCGTTAAAAGACATAATGATTTATAGTTTCTGCGTTGTTTACTTATTTTCCGTATTGTTTGCAATGGTTGTCATATGTTTTGAAAGAAAATGTCTATTTTAAAAATTACAAAAATATTTAGTTGGATTTTTTCCTTCTCATAACCATTAGGTCACCCGCAATTTTGTCAAGGAACACTTTAGCATTTTTGGCCGGAGGCAATCTTAAATCAGTTTCACTTCCTGTACAATTTTCAGGGAAGGACTGAATATAAGAACAGTTTCCATTGCTTGTAACTGCTCAAGATTATCTATAACTGAGGGTAAAATCATGTAAACTCAAAACTTATATATATACATGTATTATCACATGACATTTGCAGTCTGACATCATCGTCGTGGCAAGTGTTTCCTCTTCATATTTTTGGTATACTGTATACTTATTCACGGAACTAGATAACATATGTTAAATAAATTTCAGATACATTTTATTTATTTTATTTATACATTATTATCACAAAATCAAAAACATTAGGAAGACTTATTTTTTTGTTTATAGATAAATTCCGATAGTTACAACTATTATAACAATGATTTTCGAACCCAACGTGTTCTCGAGGAGATATTCTGAAAGAAGATATCTCAGCTTCTCAAAAGTTTTAATATGCACGCTTTTTATAAGATGTGCTATTTGACATAATTCATTACTTTGTACTGTCAACTTTCGCAATATTGTTTATGAAGGTAAACTACATTTTTTATAGGGCGTGATGATTCTACCCTACGCAGATTGTGCATGAGCGAGAAAAACTTTTTCTGGACAGTTTTGCATAGCAACGGATCGCGTCATATATGTTAACAATGACAAACATCAATGGAAGTGTTTATGATTACACATTAGGGGAAAAATAGGGGGTGGGGTCAAGAGAAAGAACTAAAATTATTATCTTTGAATGTAAACGGTCTCACTCGGAAATTACTGGACACTGGTTTTGTAAGAACTTTTAAATTTTATTATATTTCTTAGCAGAAACATGGATTAAAAAGTACCATAATATTAATCTTGAAATATGTGATTATCAAAGTGAACATGTATACGGAAATACGGAAATAAGACTAGAAATGTTCGATGAGGCAGTAATAGCGGCGGAATAAGTTTTTTATCATATGCAATCCCGTCAAAATAGCATTAAAGTAATAGAAGCATTTCAAAACGTGGGTTAAATGTAGATTAAACTAAGTAAAAATAATTTTGAAATAAACAAAGATGTATATATTTTACTGGGCTTATATTACGCCTGCTAGCTCTATGGTAATTGATACGGAATGTTTTTATTTTTTGATAAAATAGAATAAGACTTAAAAAGGTATAAATCATTAGGAAAACGCTTTGTAACGGGATATTTAAACAGCCGCACATCAAATATTTCTGATATTTTGATTATGACAACTATATTAATAATGACAGCTACCTGTCAAATTTTGTAATCATACCACAACATGCTTCAAAGAAACACGTGGTCGATACACACGGTAGATGCTTGATTGAACTATATCAATCGACCTCGCTAAAAATAGGTAACGGTCGTTTAAGCCACCATCGCATCAGCCTTACGGCAGCCCTACAGACGCATTTTGACAAAAAACGCTTGTATATACTACAAAAACACTCGTCAAAACGGTAATTTTCATGATTAAAAAGTGATTAGTGACAAAAGTTATTATAAGAACTCTAAGACATCTTCAGAGTTATCACAAGAACTCCAGGACATTTGAAAAATCGGGTATGAATTTGTTAGCCGGGCTTTATGTTTGCAATTTTTGCATTATAATTAGGTAATTATGTATGGCAAGGATGAAGACCAGAAATAAACATGTCAAAACGTGCGAATTGGCAAATAATTTTGAAATTTTACTCAAAACTTCGAGATTTTAAGCAAGAGGCTATTAAAAATGGCATATTGTAAGGATCATACATTCAAGCATAATTCTGAAATGTACTTACAACAGATCTTATAATGAAATCCATGTGACATTGTGAAATCCTATAGCTTCATCTATTGTTGACTTCTACAAGAAAAAGATTCACTTACCTGATTGATCTGAAGGAACACTGTATTAACACTTATTGACTTTGCAATTTAAGCTGATAGAAATGTTAAACTTACCTTATTGTATAGCAGAAAACTGATTTTCTCTTTATATTTTCTGTGTAGCAGACGTCCAATGACAGACATCTTTGAAATCTGTCACTTCATATTTTATATTAAAGATTTCTTATTGTTAATATCAATTTCAGTCAAATTCAATTCAAGAACATAATTTATGTAAAGTTTCTGATTGATTAAGGTCAGAAATCCTGAAGTATTTACTACATGTTTTTGTATATTAATGATTTTCGTATGTAGATTTTATATGACATTCCAATATGGCCGCCATTGAAATCCAAGATTTCAGATTCAGATATCCGACCGTCTGTCCATTGGAGGATTTCCGGATTTCTGTTGTTTCATTGGTGGATTTCAAACATCGAACCTTATAAAAGTCGGAATCCAACCAATGTTGTCACTTCGGTCTTGACCTCCAAGTAATGTAAATAAAGTTGTAAAACCGCCAAAGTTCAAATTCAGTAAACATCTTACAAACGACATTGTTATCCAAACTTGTAAGTTTGTATGTATTTAAATCCAATATTAGTAACTCACTAGACACTGTTGTTGCCGAAATACTTGTTATAAACTAAGAAAACTGTATAAGAATTGTATTTATTTTCCCCATCCTGACATACGTTAACAATATGAATTAGTTATTGACAATTTATACAAGATATACGGCATGCTTAATCATTAAAGTTTAATTTAGCATCTAAAAATCACTTTTAAGATA